GGTGCATGTCAGGCTATGGCGTAGGGTACAGCGTAGGCTCTGCGTCTATTGTAGTAACATTGATGGAAACAATGCAGGATTTAAAATGTTGGGGAAAAAAATCCATAGGAAGGAACAATGAACATGTTTGTGTGACCTCGAGGACACACACAGTGGATTTTTTGAGGAACACGGAACGCAAACATTTGTTTGTTTATTTCAACACAGGGTGCCGTAGAGTTGCAGCTTTAATTGCTTTTTGCTGTGTGATAATTGTTGAGCCACAGCTATTTAAATGTGTACATATCTCCAGTGTGAGTTACTGTGTTTGAAAGGGTGTGTTTTAACTTCTCTCTGGCTTTGGCAGTTTGAGTTCCTACAGCACTGCACAGACCGGCTCCACTTTTCAGCATTTTGTCTGATGAAGTCAATAAAATCATGATGATTATTCTGAATGAACAGTGTGCATTTAAATGGCTCAGCTAAAGATCTTCTGGTCACCAGTGATGTATTTTCAAAGTCAGATGATTTATTTTATAGAAGAATGTTATATTCTGGAAATATGCTGCATGCCACGTAATTTGAAAAGGCTTCTTTCAAGCGTCTGTTTCTTCGCTGACCCTGAATCAGCCACAAACAACTTCAAGGTTGAGTGCAGGCGTTGAAGAGAGAAAATGGTTTTGCTTGTAAGGATTATAGAGAATACAAACACTACCAGATGATTTTGTTTTACATTAGCACATTAACACATTTCACTCCTAAATGACTGGCATGATGACAGATGCTAGAAAAATCAGGTCGCAGGGGGAAATAACCAGAAAGATCCCTTCAGCGAAGACACTTAATGACCCCTATTTCTGCTCCAAGTCTTGCTTTCCACTGTTCCACATTCTAAGACCTCTTCAATAAAACATGCATCTCTGTAACATTTACAACTCTTGTGTTTCCTGAAATGAGAAATCCAAAACCTCTTTGATGTTCGAGAGAAACGTACATGAAACTTAATGTTTTAATTCTCTGTAAGGCACAAGTTACAAGTGACTTATATTCTGGCAAAAAGGGATCCGTGCTGGAGCGCGAGGGGAGGGAGGACCGGGGCCGAGCCTTGTTGTGGAGCAGCATATTTTATTTTCTCTCCCAGAGGTTTAGAGGAGCTGTTGCACTCTGGAGTTTTAGCGGAGGTCACAAGGTTATTATATAAACAATTCACATGGAGGCCCTCAAGCACCCAGAGGGAATGTTTAATGCAATGCTCACAATTTCTGAAATGTTATAATGCTCAAGACGCAGACATGTGTCCGATTTTAACCATGCTGCATTATCTCTCTGTCTTCCCTTTTTTTCTCCCTGCTTTTAGCTGTTTTGTCGAGGCAACTCAAAACCACGCTTAATTAATTTGGTCAGCTGCCTTGGATAAACTACATTGATGACATCAATTAGATTCTAATGAAAACAGATAAAAGCCATGGAAAGCAAATAGAATTTCTGAACAGGACTCATCAAAGTCTCAGCATTGGAACAAATTCCCATTACGTCTCATAAAAGCCTTTAATTTGCAAAGCTCATGTCTGGTTTGGTACTTAGAAGTACATGGTCAAATGATTCAGTCTTAAGTCCTGTGCCAAGAGAAGCCAAATCAGAATTTAATTTGGCACGTAACTCCTTATCCTGTCTGAAACATGTGGTTGGATGCAATCCTTGGATTAGCGTGGACTTTAGAACTACAAATTTGGCTTGTTTCTCCTCAGCTGGCAGAACAAACACCTAGGCTAACCCATTTGTAACACGACATTTACATTTCCAATCTCCGGGAAAAAAAAAAAAACACATGCTTACCCCAGATTAGTGCTTCTTAGTTAACCAAATTGCTACAATTATGTGTGTCAGTCATTGACGTGGGATGACGAGGCTCCGTGTCTTTGTCTCTGTCACTCTCCTTCTCTCGTTTGTAATGACAGTATAACCTCTTTCTAATGTCTGATTTGATTTTACAGTTAAAGGCAATTTATGATGAATAATCCAAACTTCTCAGTGTTTTGTACAGATGCTGTTTTTTTTTTTTTTTAATTGTGCTTTATGTCTGTCAGACAAATTAATAAGACATACATCTTCATTTCACTCAGTAACTTTAGAGTTACTTAAATGCTGTCTCTCATGTCATTATAATCAGTCAGATCCTGATTAGTGTTTTCAGGAGCTGAAAGTCACTGTGATTAGTGAGCAATGCAGCTCTATTGCACTAAATTTTTTGTATTGCAGCTATGAAATATAATAAAACAATGACCTCAATTATAATATCCATACAAATCAAAGAGGACTTGATATTAACCGTAAATGATACATTAGTAAACTTAAACCAGCAGTTTTTAAACCAGTTTTGGCCACATGGGGGAGCAGGAAAACCTGTGAACACAATATTGATATATTATCACCATTTAAGTTGTTTATTTGTTCATCCAGCAGACACAGAGCAACATTAGCTTTCATTTTGATTCATGTTTCAGGCCACCTGATGAATGAAAGTCGAATATATTCTCTCTTTTAGCTCCTTTTTTGGTCTCCACCACTTCCTAAGAAATATCTAGCTCTTTAGCTACCAAATGCTCCACTATGTTCACCAGCTTGTTGCTAATGTTTCCTGCTGTTCAGTCTGAGTAGGTAGTGTACAGTAGATTTTTAGCTAAAAGGAGTTGCATTCAAAAACCACGTGATGAGAGCGGTGAGAGTGAACCAGAACCAAAACGTAAAGGAGCACCTGCAAATGATGGTTTGTGTATCAGTTAGTCGCTGTGTGTAACATTGAATTTGTGATGAAAACTTTGGTTTCCTCGCCTGCCTCCACAGTGAATGGAAAACCCCTTAAAGGATAACATTCTGGGGCGTCGGTGGCTTAGTGGTAGAGCAGGCGCCCCATGTACAAGGCTGTTGCTGCAGCGGCCCGGGTTCGAATCCAGCCTGTGGCCCTTTGCTGCATGTCATCCCCCCTCTCTCTCCCCACTTCACGCTTACCTGTCCTGTCCACTAAAGGCAAAATGGGCCAAAAAATATCTTACTCTAACTCTAACACGACTCGTGCAGTATAATCCAAGTCTCATTTATCCTATTGTATGCTCAGTGCTTCCGCAGCATTTTTGCTGAAACGTTACGATATAAAACATTTGGGTTCACTCAGAGTGATGAACCTGGCAGGAGATTTAGGCCGCATTCACACCAGGATAGTCCAGGGGACTCGGTTCGATTGGGCGGGGAATGCCAAAAAATTTCACGCCTTCATTTGGTTTGGTTCACTTTCACACTGCACTTTTTAAAGCGGACCAAATCACCTGGACATCATCACGCAGTTACAACAGCTGCTCGTTTGGGGACGGTATTGCCCGAAATGACCACTGACCATTGATGAAGAAAAGCATGAGGAAGAAGAAAACCCGGCTCATTGATTGGTCAGGACCGAAAACGGAAATCCATCTGCTTCAGCCGGCTTGGTCACGACAAAAAACACCAAAATGCAATGCGCTCTACGTCATTTAGTCTCTTTGGTTTGCTGGACAGTCTGTTTACATTTCCTACTGTACGTGAACCGCACCAGGGTTCACTTGCAGGTCAACCAATACCACCAGTTTTCAAGCGGACCAGGGTTCGTTTAAAGCGGACCAAATAGCGCCAGTGTGAATGCGTCCTTAGAGTGCCTTGTTGCAGACTGAACAGATTTAAAAATTCATTCATACCTCTGTCTATAAAGCTTTTAAATTATCGCAGATAAAGCTAGATCTGGCATTGGACTATGACGATATGCTGATTTGCATTTTTGTAGAGGTATTTTTAGCGTATCATGTCATTTATTTGTTTATCTTTTTGTGTTTTTTAATGCTACGTTAGGTTTAATCTTGATTTGTCTATGTACTATGTTGTATGTTGTATTTTTATGGCTGCAGTATGGGTGTAGGGCCCAAGACAATAAATTTAATCTTGATCTTGATCTTGGATCTTGGTCTTGATTTCGATTTCAGCCTAGGAGAAGTACGCCCTGAGCAGGTGCGTGCACATGAGCATCCACGTGCCTAGTTGGGGTACTTAGTTGTGGCTGAGACTGGTTGTACTGACATATTTTAAATCTGAATGTTCTAAAAACATCACCTTTTTTGGAGTCTTTGTTCACCGTGGATTTTTTCTGGACAAATTTAAGGCAATACGCGACGAGTGATCGATTTAGAAACGGCCACTTTGCAGGTGAAGAGTTCCTTTAAAGAGGCGTAGATGCTCTGTTGAGCTGAGAGGCAGTGTTGAATGATAATTCACTGCAGGTTTGAACCATTTTATATTTTGCAGCCATGTGATCTGTTGTTAATATAAAAATATTGATCATTGCAGCTTTAATATTCAAGCATTTGTGGCTCAGTGGTCGCCAACATCATACCTACAACCGTGAAGAACTCTTTTGAACTTTACCCATTACAATGTTCTTCATTTGTCGTAGCTTCCACAAATACAGAAGGGCACAGTTAACACTGACCGGCTCAGCATATTACACAATATCACACAGTCAGGTTCATGTGCATGTTTTTTTTTTTTTTTTAAATGGATGGATGTGGTTGGATGTCTGTGCACATTCTCCACATGTCAGCATAAAGGAGCTCCGGCACATCCATTCATACATTTATACACAGTAACCTCAGTAAACCGTGTAATCTCTCTTTAACCTTGACCATACAGAGCATCATGTGAACTGTGCACCATTCAGTTATGTCTTTGATGTAGCCAAAGGAGTTTATATAATACACTTCATACATAGGTTGTCTGTAAGTGTGTTTTCTTCTCTGTGTGTTCAATCTTTTTTTTCTGCACCCAGGATGTCAATAAAATGATAATAAATAAGTTATATTGTGTGTTCATTCAGTGGTGTAGTGTCTGCTTTGTTAGAATTGTGACCGTTTGAATGTAGGAAAAAAGAGGAAGTATTTAATGAGCTGTTTTTGTTTCTCTTGGTGTGTGTGTATGTGTGTGTGTGTGTGTGTCCATCCCAGCGGACTACCCTCCCCCTCCACCACCTGCGGAAGAGTCAACTGGTTTCCCCCCATCCTCTGGTTCCTTCCCTCCTCCTCCACCGGTGAACTCGTATGATTTTCAGGTGAGGGAAAGTGTTGTTGCATTAAATTTTCTTGGTTGTCAGTAACTCTCGAAGAGTCAGCACAGAAAGCAAACACAGCCCCGAGCTCTGCGCTGAGTTCATGTACCAAGTCCAGCAAAACTGACTGTCCATTTGAGTTGCAGCCAACTGAAGAAACGTCCAGCTCCAGATGCTTCCTGGAGCCAGCCACCCTAACTCAGGGACCCACACACTAACATACTTTCTTCAGTTCTGAGAGAGGTAATGCAGGAAGGATAGAAGGCTGACACCTATTGGTGGAGCCTGGTCACTTTTCTCTGCTTTGCTGGTCACAATACCCACAGGCATTCATCCCTCCCGGGATATCTGGCCTCTGACACTCTCAGCACTTGACCTCTGCTGCGAAAATCCTCCAAGTGCTTCACATTCCTTTGTTCAGTGTCCCTCTTCAAGCCCCTCATTTGATCTGACCAGTTGCTTATCCTAAATGAATGCTCCCTTTGTAAGTTTGGAGACAGAATGTTACATAATTTAAATAAGTTATGCAACGTGTGTAAATTCACCGCTCCTCCCACACAAACTGTGTACATAGACAGTATAAAAATGCATCCTGGTGTCATGATCTTAATGTAAACCACCAGCCCTCTCACAGTTATACAGTTATTTTAAGAGGTGCACAGCTAGGAGAGTTACAGTTCTGAGTTTCGTGGTTTTGTTTAACCAAAGAAATGTTTGGCTGAGTCAGAGCTGCTTTCCTTAAAGGGTGAGTTTGGTATTTTTCAACCTGGACCTTATATTCTCATGACTCTGTATCTAAGTGACGAATGGAGACAACAGTTTTTGAAATTGCTGCTCGGGGCATGTCTGCAGCGTCAATTCACATCCACTAAAAGTGTTTTTGTCACTGACAGGCTCAGATTAGTATTCGAAGTGTCTGACAACATTATGGAAAGGATCCCTACAGAGATAGACCTCTTTGTTAAAGATTAAGATCCTTTTTGTTTGACCAGAAACAGCCCCGAAATCACTATCGCCACCCCCACCAGACTCCATTTTAATAAACAGTAATTTAAGCGTGTATAAAGCCTGTGTACTTTCACATCTAAATCGTCCATTAGAGGTTTACTTCAACCAAACCAGAGCTGGTGAGTGTTGGAACAGTGGAAAGATGAACCACCATGCCTTCTGTGAATTTTGTTTTGTTTTGTTTCTGTCAAATGCTAAAATGCTAAAATTACTGTTGATTAAAATGGAGTCTGGTGGCTGTGGTGATAGCGATGTCAGGGCTGTTTCTGGTTAAACAAAAAGGATCTTACTATCTCAGTATGGATCCTGTCCTTAATGATGTTAGAGAATAAAAATAACAATCTGAGCCAAAGTGGCAAAAACAAACACTTTTAGTGGACGTACATTGACAGAGCTGTTATCGTGCCCAGAGTGTTTACACTGCAGCCTGTTTGCCGCTGCTGTCTACAACCCTCTCTCTCAATACTGGACCAATGTAAAAACTGTTGTTCCCATCAGTCACATAAACACGAGAAAATAGGGTCGAAGTTAAAAAAATAATTTATTCATTTAACACATTTATAATTGTTTTTTCTTGGAGAAAAGAAAAATGAAATCAACAAAATGTACGTCACACATCAGAAAATTCAACACTTAAGTTAACCCTTTTTCACATTGTTCATTTTATAAAGTCACAGATAATTTTGTCAAATTACAACATTCAGGTTTTTACTAGAGACTCACCAGTCTCACTTTTTTAAAAGGGGATCTATTTCCTAAACTTTAATCTGACTCACAGGATGTAGATTGTGGCGGTAAGCCTGCTACTGGCCGACTATTTAGGCCGGCATTCTCCACCCCCATCACTATCTGTGTTTTATCATTTTCAAAATCACAACTGACCTCACAACGGCAGAGCAAACAACCCACATACAAATAGTGGTACGTTTTGATGAAGATTTGGATCATGCAATAAGGCATTCCGGCTTTGTTCCATTGGTGAATTGTTGTAAAGATCTACAAACAACTTGTGAATGTTTGTGATTTGCCACATCTTTTTACCTTGGCAGCGGCATGTGTTACCATCGTAATAATGTTCTACAAGAGCCGCAAACAGCTAGCAAATCCACCCTGGTTGTAATGGGTCCAATGAGATTAAGAGCTTAAGTACAGTCAAGCTTCACCTCTAAAGGCCAAGACACACCAGTGGCGAATGACGTCAAAAATTACGCCCCAAATATTTTCAATATACAATGCCACATTGGCAGCGGCTAGATGCACATTGGCGACACTACCCACCACCGTCATATTTCCAGCCTGGCCACACCAGCATTAAATAGTTTGTACATACCGGCTCCCGTAGCAGCTCTTCTTCTCTGCTCCTGTGGCAGCTTGACTCCTCTACTCACCATGGATGTATAGAGAGAACTCTGTTGCTTCTGTTGCTTTGTCTTGTGTGTGACGAAGACTGGATGAGGAGAGACTCATTGTTGAGGTCGAAAAATACCCCGAGCTTAAAGACCCAAAATCCCGTCATTATAAAGACAGTGTCTAAAAAGATACTTCCTGGCGAGTCAGAGCTCTCGAGATATGCTCTTCAGGTGAGAAATGAACTTTTAGTAGTGGGTGCTAAGCTAATATGTGGTGAGGTGGTAAGGTGAAAGAGGTACATATATTTTAGTAACAATAACCTTCTGTGGTCGTCTGTTGACGAGCTGCAGCGCGATGCATCTAGTGCGTGCTGGGGGCACTAGATGCGTCTTTTTCAGTTATTAAAAGTTTAATCACATAGTTGATCCTGGCCAACACAATCATGATTGGTTTGAAGAAATACAAACAAGCCAAAGCAGTTTCCCTTATAGCAGAATGATAATGAGTTCTTCTAGATGTTTCTCTGGCACCACGCGAGACTGCCTGAACTCATATTTGTATACCTAACTGTGTGGGATCATTCTCCTGTGTATAAGGTAACATGAAGCTACAAATCCATTCTGAGCTGTAATCGGAGACACTCCTGCACCCACAGTCTTTTAAAGATTGTGCAAGGTTTAAATAAAATGTTCTAAAAGTGTAATGAATTGTGCTCCTACAAATTTATAACAGCAGAACTCAACATGAAACAGTCACATCTGGCCTGTGATCAAATCATATCAAATCAAGTTTATAGTGAGCCTCTCTCTGGGATCAAGATGCACCATAAATAACACTATATGCAAGACTCCAAACTCTATACAGCACAGCTCAGTCCCTGAGCGCACATACCTAAGATGTATGGAGCACAAGTTAAAATATTAAAAACAATAAAACACCAGTAAATTGAAGTTATAAAAAATTGTATGAAAAGATGTCCAGCACAAGTGTCCAAAGATGAAATATGCAAATAGAGAAATTTAAAGAGGTGTTCCTTTGTGTAGATAGTTGTACTTTAGCAGCCTGGCTTCTCTCCTATGAATGAAAGCGCTTTTAGAATACAGTCATTGTCTGAGTGCACAAAATAGTAAGAGGTTAACAAAACATGTTAAAGTTTACCAAATGATCTTTAATGTAAATGGCAGGTTGCGGTACTTACCCATCGTCAGGTGCCCATATGTTCACTGAAACCATTTTACTTGCTGTAACCTCTCCTCCTGTTGACACTGACCACGAAGATATCCCTGTCTAATGCGCCTTCAGTGTAAGTGAGAGAGGACAAAAACCACAGTCCGTGTTTGTGCAAACTATTTTCAAAAGTTTATCTGAAGCTAATCTGAGGTTTCAGCTGTCTGAGTTATTCAGCTCGTGAGCATCTTTCAAAGTTACAGTCTTTGTAGCACAGAATTCCCTTTTGTGTCACCGTCCCTCTCCTGCTTCTCAGCGCCAAATTAAACCAGGGAAACACAAAAAGTGAATTTTGTCCTAAAAGGAGTCTAACTTTGGAATATACCCATCAGGCTTCTGAAGCCTCACATGAGCTCCAGCTGAACTTTGGCATATATTTTTGTACAAAACAAGGACTGAGGTTTTTGTTTCCCATCACTTACACTGAAAGCAAGTTAGGAAGGGACCTTTGACAAAAAACATAATTTGACCTCACTGAACACGGGAGCTGCTGGTCTACAACTGCTTCGATCTGTTAGTTTGTGTCATTGTGTGACTTTGGTGTTTTAAAGGGTTAGTTAGGATTCACCAAAGTCACACAATAACACAAACTAACTGACTGATGCAGCAGTGGATCAGCAGCTCCTGTGTTCAGCGAGGTGAAATTACAGCTTTTGTCGATAGACCCTCACAGTCCACAGTCCACCACAGGGCTGTAGGCTACACAGGAGTCACATATCAACCGCCACTGCCCATCAACAAAAACAAAGACAACTATGGTTAAATGAGATAAGACAAAAGAACTGGACGGAGGTGATCATCAAAAGTGCTCACATATGCACCACACACTTCATATCAGGTTAGAGAAAAAGGTATTTCCTGTTGTAGGGATGAATAATGTTAAGTGTATTAAGGGTTATCATGTCCACCTCATCAGAAACTGGGGAGATATTAAGAGGAATGTTGGATTTCTCTGTAATGCTAACTTTTTAGCACACTAGCTAACAATAGCAAAACAAACTGGAGGAAACTGTCCAAGTGTCATCCTCCTTTGTAAGACTGACATAGTGATCAACCACAAAGCTTCCTGTGACATCATCCATCCACTGAGTGAGAGCATACAGGTCGGCCAGTCTGGTCCTGCTGGGCAGTGTTTACTTATTCAAGTGACACTCGCGGTCCTGGAGAGTGAATGACCTGACATGGAGCCTACGTAAATTCAGTCTGATGCTCTACACTAAAATGAGAGCCCTGCTGGTCAAAGAAATGGAGCGTTATATTTATATGAATTGAAGAACGGTTAAGTTAGCCACATATTCACTGCACTCAGTGCTCCCCTCTGCTCAGTTTCCACAGACAGAGTGCGCAGAGTGCGCTCTGCCTCTCTGAGAGTGCAGTGCTCAGGATAATTGAATGGTCCAGTCTGTGCCAGAGTGCGCTCCAGCACTTTTAATGAGTATTTCTGAATGCCCCACTCGCATCATCTTCCTCCATTGTCTAAAACAAGCCAACATGACTTGCTTGGTAGTGCTAGCTGATGTCTATGGAGAATTGTTTTGTCTCCAGCTAAGCCCCGCCCACCAAAAAACATCATACTGTTTACTAACAGTAAAAGGGTCTAAAGAGTCTGGTTTTGAAGAGAGCTTCGATAAGTTTCACTTTCAGTTCAGTTCCCCGTCAGAAAGTGCTCTGTTTGGGAAGTACCGAGCATACGACTGGATAAATGAGACTTGGATTATACTGCGCGATCTGTGTGAGAGTTTGTAAACAGATGCTTTGCTGTTGTTAAACACGGACCCCTATGGCTTCAATTCATCATGAATTTTCTCAGAGTCTCAATCAATCAATCAATTTTATTTATAAAGCCCAATATCACAAATCACAATTTGCCTCACAGGGCTTTACAGCATCCCTCTGTCCTTATGACCCTCACAGCGGATAAGGAAAAACTCCCCAAAAAAAACCCTTTAACGGGGAAAAAAACCGGTAGAAACCTCAGGAAGAGCAACTGAGGAGGGATCCCTCTTCCAGGACGGACAGACATGCAATAGATGTCATACAGAACAGATCAGCATAACAAATTAACAGTAATCCACATGACACAATGAGACAGAGAGAGAGAGAGAGAGAGAGATGCAGGTAATGACAATAATAAGAGTCTGAATTCTTTATTTACTGTCGAGGCATGTGAGAAAAACAAAGTTGTCTTCACGAATTTAACGTAACGAATTTAACGTAGCAACTACACACATGATCATTTGGCAGGTGTAGTTTTCCTTTAAGACAGACTTGGAAAAAATGTGAATATATCCTTCAAGCTATGTAAACAATTAAAAACACATTGAACAGATTTTTTTAGCTCATGAAAAGCTACCTTTTCCCCACAAGACAATATATGAAGTGGACATGATAACAGAGATACTCAGGCTGGCCCCACAGTTAGTTTCACTCCCTATTTACCACTGCCATCACTCCTTTTCTTCTGAACAGTGTAGACAGTCGGAGTAAGAGATATCTGAGGCCTGAAATTAAGTGCTTAATTAGTTTTAAAAGTGCTTTACTGTTTTCATCTCCAACTTTTCTTCTCCTATAATATTGGCTGTAGAATCACACTGGCCATGTAACTTAATTCCTTAATACACCACTGGTATCTTAATTATGTGTCCTGTAGCCAGAGCAGAACTCTTTAACTGCAGACGCAGTTCAGAAAAAGGGATAGATATCAATCAAAATGTCTTTGTATCTTGTTCTCTGTGCCTCAGCAGAGAAATTACACACGCTGAAAGAGTAAATCAGTGATTAAATGGTATTTCCTCAGAAAAAGGCAGAAATGTTCTCTTGTCTTTATCACCCTGGATGAGAGAGATGACGGGATTATGACACGTTCATGCCAAAACCTTTCACAGGAGAGAGGAAGACAAAAGCAGCTAGTTTTCATCATGGCTGTTGTCCACATTACGAAGCCCTACACTGCAAATTCCAACACATCACAAAGGCAACAATGTTTCCTTTCATCCTCCTCGTTATCCCTGTTAAATAAGTTTGCCTGTTTTTTCTTTTGTTGATTTGAGACAAGCCATTAGTGTTTTGCTTTGTTTACCCCCGCTCGTGATTGCCTTAGATGTTTTTAAGCAGCAGCTCTGCTCCAAATGGAGGCAAGCCCTGCCTGTAATAGATTGTGACAGGTAATCCAAACACATAACATTAGAATAAGAAGCAGTCACTGATCCAGCCAACTCAAAAAGCCCCCGCAGGCAATTGCAAGAAGTCTTCTTGCAGTTGCAGCATAGTTCAGAAGACTAAAAATATATCTGTCGATCCATGGAGAAATTCCCGGGAATTTTGTAGAAAACCGAGTGTCACTAACGGTCAGATCATATTAGGTACTTTGCAGATTTTTGTGCAACAGTTTTGTTATATGTTGTGTCTTTTTTATATATATGTACATGTTGAGGTTGTGTTTTCTCTGAGGTGAAACTGGAAAAATGTAGATGAATAAATCAGCAAGGTCTCAGGCTGCTGGAGTGATCCTGTTACTGACGCTTTCAAGCTTCCTCTGATAATAAACTAGTTAAATAAAAATCAGAGTGATTCCTATCATCTTTTATACAGCACATGTTTAAAATATGGAATAAAAAATGTCAGACTTTAATTCTAAAAAAAATGACCTTTTTGTTTGAAATACTGCTGGTTGAGATTGTGATGAATAATGCATGGAGAATGAGATACTGTAAATCCAAGTGTGCTGAAAAGCAGGAGGTGAATAGTGCACTGCTTTATGAAAGTTGTCTTTCAGACAATACATTGCTTCTTGTTTCTCAGCGCGTTTCTCTGAGAGAAGTCTGTGCTATTGATGTGTGGCTCTCAAAAGGATTGTCTGAGGTCAAGGTGAAACATGAACTCACAAGCTGTAATCCAAAGTGTAAGAAGGGTGAAAAAAGCAGGAGAGAATGTCTCGGAGCAGCACAGAGTCAGAATTACTCCTCATTGATGATTATCTGTCCTTAACTTTTGAGTGCAACTACATGATGTAACTTAACCAAGTGTCATCACAGGCTGTTTTGGTGAGTACGCTCATCGTACTGTATTTGTGATGTCTGCTCGCAGATGAAAGGACCAGAGAAGACCCTGGAGGAGAGACGCTCCAGTCTGGATGCTGAGATCGACTCCCTCACCAGCATCCTGGCAGACCTGGAGAGCAGCTCACCCTACAAGCCACGGATCACACAAGTATGATACCAACACAACTTTACACCCGTACATTCAAATACAAACACTGACAGTCAGTAACGAAGCACATGTGCTCAAATACTGTATTTGAGTAATGGCGGCACAGTGGTGCAGTGGTTAGCATTGTCGCCTCACAGCAAGAGGGTTCCTGGCTAGAACCCAGGGTGGGGGAGCCCTTCTCTGCATGCTCTCCTCGTGTCAGCGTGAGTTTTCTCCGGGTACTCCAGCTTCCTCCCACAGTCCAAAGACATGCAGGTTAATTGGTGACTCTTAATTGTCCGTAGGTGTGAATGTGAGTGTGAATGGTTGTCTGTCTCTATGTGTCAGCCCTGTGATAGTCTACTACAATGGCCTGTCTAGTTGGGGCTCCTTGTCATTCTGTAGATGTTGTTAGCAGTTTTACCAAAGACTGTTTTCTTCAGACAGACCTCGTTAATCTCACGACCCCTCAGATTTATCCTTTGACCCTTTGGAGTGGCCCAAACCCTAGATTGGTAACCACTTAACAAAAATACCAAACAGTATGTAAAGAGGTGAAAAACCACTTCCGCCAAACACATCAGTATTAAGTGTCTAAAGAGCCATTTCTTCTGCAAAATGAGTCTTTTTATATTTGGTACATAAAATAGATTCTCCTGATATTACTTATATACTTTAACTTAAGTCTTACATTTGAAAAAAAAAGTTTCTTTAAATTGTTGAACTGGTTCTTAGAAAGTAAAGGACCTGAGTGTTTCTTTGACAGCTGCTGAAATACACAACAACTTAAAAAGAGACCCAATACACTCAGCTTATAAACATGCACTGCTGTATGAAGGATGCTATTGACTAAAATCACTGAAGAACGTACAGCATGTTTGAATTATTTTCGACGATTGAAAACAAATGCTGCACTGTAACAAAGTATGTTCCTGCAGGAAACAAACCCATATGTTGCATCTTTTAAAAATGTTTGCGGTAATGACAAAATGAGCCTTGACCTATATCATTAGTTGATATTAAACGATATTAAGAGCAACTTCAAAAAGTCAAAGCCTTGGGCAGTTCACTAAATTGTTTGACACACAATAAATGTAGGACAGGCGGATAAAAAAACCTAACCAATTGTGTTTGGAGTAGGAAGACTCAGAGGGGCTTTTAACACCATGCAGATCATGTCTCTGGTGAGATATTCGAGCAATAATGTAATACCTGAAAGGTTTTTCGACAGACGTGGCTATCACCAAAGGACTATATTAAAGTCAAACAATTCTTAAAGGTATGACAGTTTTTATTCTGTGGCTTATTTACTGTGTAGTTACCATGTCTACATGTTGTCTGCTTTATTTATTTATTATATGTTGGACTGAAAACAGGGTTGAAGTGATGAATTATTGACAGAGCTTTTCATTTAGCTACATATAAGGGTCTGTGCCCTCATACAACATGTACATATTTACATCCAGTGACCTATTATGTCAGTGTAGCTCAGATAGTGACTTTAAAGGAACTCTATACAATATTCAAAGCATAATTACAGCAGCAAACATCTATTTGCTTCGTTAAGATATAATGAAGTGATGGCATCCAAACAAACACAGGACTTCCATCCAAAGGACTGGTGTTTGTGTCCAGTGTGAAGGCCTGCCCATGACTAAGAATTTTCTTAGTCGACCAATAGTTGTCATTTATGGCCCGTTGGTCGACTAGTCGCCCGCATGTTTACAATATTAATTTAATTATTAAATGATATATTTTGGTGGTTTGAGTTGAAGGTGTGAAAAAGAATAGTATCAGTAACATTGTTAACACTGTGCTACATTACAAAGAAATACAAAACCGTACTAATGAACCTTCATTAATATAGGCCTATATTTTATCTACAAGTGCACGTCACACTGAGCTGATCTTCTTCGAGGAGCTGTTTATGTGTGCAGGCCTGTTGTCTGTGAGACAGATGTAAAGCTCTGGGTAGCCCTGCACTAACATGATCAACTTTTCCATGTTTATCAGACTGAATATTTACAGAAGAAGGGAAGGATATCTGTTGGCTGTGAATGTTTTGTAACGTGACTCCTGTCTGACTGCTGAGTGTGGACACTTCCTGTGTCTGTCCTTTCAAATTAGATTCCCACATGGTCCAGTCATATAGGTTTGGATTTATTTTGACAAGGCGCAGCTCCTAATAGAGTTCTCCTAATGAAATTTTGCAGACGAATGTTTGGTCGGCTATTAGGGGGCAGCCCTACCCGTGTGAAACCAAAAGTCAACGTGTAGTTCCTTTACCAACGTAACGCAGTATGTTAACATGTGTCTCTCGATATATGTGTTGTGTGTTAGTTAATTACATCCTATCAAGTTACCTTTGTAACAAACATAAGCATTTTAAACCAAGCCATGGTCTTTTTTTCTGAACTTTACCATAAAGTTCTGGTGCAGCTGCAGCAGTGTGTTAAAAGTCTGCGTCCGTTAACGGTCATATTTGGGCTATTCTGTCGTCCACCGGTAGGTGCACTGATTTGAGAAATGCCCCTGTGGGATATATTCAGAGGAAGGAAAGTACGACCTATGTGGTTGTATGTTAGAATCAAGTCATGCTCCTTGTGTGTGTTGTAATTAGGGCTTCTTTGTTAATTGTTGTGGTAGACGGTTGGGCCACACGTTTATGTTCACATGACTCCCAGTGTGTGTACCCACTGGCTAACTCATCAATGCCACTCTGCAGTGTGCGTATATAGGCAGCTACCGCTGACAACACGATCTCGACCCACAGTGGTTTTGCGGAAGCGCAGTGCCAACCCTACGGTTTCCTGCCTGCTGTTGGTGTTGGCAGAGATGTTAGCCTCTAGCTGCCGGTTCAGCAACTCGATGTTTAGAGTCGTGTGCAGACAATTTCGGCTCAGACTCTGAATCATAGATATGCTTTGGAAGTCGCATACAGCTTCTTGAATTGGATGGGAAATAGAAGTCTTTCTTTAACAGCCTTTATAGCACATCTGTGAAGATACTCTTTTCTCAGACTCATAGAGTGCACACGCTGCGTTTGTATAAAGTGACACTTGAAACATGGTATTTTGAGGGAAGTGTGCAGTGTGACAGAGACAGACAAAAGACTCCTGGTTGCGAGTGCCTTCGTCCTTTGGTTTTGTGACTCCTGACTCCCTGGTTAGAGGGAACAAAATGGGTATACCACACACAAAGTGAGAATTATTGCACCACACAGGGGAAACATAGCGGATACAGAGTGAAAAGAAATGAACTGTGTGGTTCTGAAATTATACACATTACAGACAAGTATGTAAAATACGACTTGGTGATTTCTAGTATGTTTAGTGTTGTGGTGAGTCAGTGTGTTCATGGGTGCTGCTGGTGTTAAACGCCATACAGTAATAACATAACATTATATGCTCATAAAATATGGTGAAATACATTCTTGACCAGTCAAATAGATATTTAACAGTTTTTAGTAGAATACAGACATTGTATTATGGGGTTGACAGTCTGCATTATCCAGCTGCCCACAGATGTCTCTGCAGGCACTGATAGAAATCTTGATAATGCTGCTGTGAGGATTAAATACAAGTCACACACTATTGACTGTTTCTGCTTCTGCTGCTCTGCTTTGACTGATGCACTCACTGATTTGTCTGAAACTTTTTGGCTTGTTGGTTTTGTCTTGTAGACTTTTCTTTAAAGGAATAGTTTTATATATTGAGGAATGTGTTTATTTGCCTTTTTCCAAGAAGACAAGAAGATTGATGCGACTCTCATGAAGCTAGAGCCGGAAGCTGGTTAGCTTAGCTTAGCATGAAGACTGGAAACGGGTAGTCTGGTTCAGAAATCGTAAAAACAGCAATGCTTTTTTGTTATGGTGTCTTATGTGATTTCTTTTTTAACCAACCGAAGAAATAGTCCCACACATAACCCCCTTTAAAATCCCAGATTGTTGTTTTTAGACTTTGCTTCTGTTCAGATTTATGCTATGCTAATGCCTAGTCCCACATATACACAGTTTCTTTTTTAAACAGGGGTTTTCCTCAGAACAAAACAACAACTTCCGTCCACACAAACACTTTTTGTCTATCCAAATGAAAACAAAAACAAAAAACAAGAAGCGCTGTTAAGAACATCCCAAACCAACAGCCAGTGACATAACCGTAACCCTTAAGCCACACAAAGAAGAAGAAGAATCCTGGAATTAAAGCTTTTATCAGAAGGCTTCCTGGAGCAGTGGCCTCTTAGGCGCATTCTGATGCTTCTGTTCCTCAACATAGTGGAAGAGGAACTGTGCATTTATGTGTAAACATGTAAAAACGTCCTGTTAGTGAGGTTAGAGCCAGTACTGTTTTGATCACATCGGCTATTGCAGGAAATGTTGCCTCATTCGTGACACCTCACAAACCAAAAAGTTTTTGTGTGGACGAAAGGCCAAAATACACAGAACAAGCTTTGTTTGAAGTATACCTGTGTATGTGTGGATAAGGTCTAACGCTCGGGTCACACTGCCCACATGAGCAGCACTGCTCAGGCACATCTTGGCTCCTGCTCAGCTATGGCACATCTAGAGGATAGAAGTCTTGCCTATTTTGTACGCGTGGCCATGTGGCTCTCAGTGAAAACAGACTGTGAATACGGTCTTATGATCATATTGACATAATGCTGCCTTTTAGTACAGTTATGGGCCCAATCCCATTTCTCATTTTTGCCCCTACCCTTACCCCTACCCCTACCCCTACCCCTCTTTTTCAAGTGCCCCTTGTCCCTTGCAACAAAGTTACAAGGGGTAGGGGTTGAAATATTCCCCTATGAAATGGGACAACCCTTCATACCCGGAAACGTCATCATTAGTCGTCAGTGACGTCATAAAAAGAC